GAGCTCTGCTGCTGTTGCTGTTGCTGCTGCTGTTGCTGAGCTGAAATTGAGCTCTGTTGCTGCTGCTGCTGCTGCTGCTGTTGCTGTTGCTGCTGCTGTGGCTGCTGCTGTTGTTGCTGCTGTTGGGTATAGTGTAGGAGAGAAGGCTTGTTCTGGGAAGGCAAAACAGAAGGCATCTGCTGGTTTGCTTGATCTGAGTTAAAATGGAACAAAGGCTTGGTATTGCCATGACGGGGCTCCATGGCTGGGTGTGGGTTGTTAATAAAACTTCGACTGAGATCCTGAGGCTTTTGCTGCATGAGCACATCCAGGTGCCCACCCTGGGCTGAGGGGCTGGTCTTGTACATGTAATTAGCCATCACTTTTGACTGACTGCTGCTTCCAGCTACCCCAGGCATGGGGGAGCTCTGTGGACTGAATGGCTGCTGGCCGAAAGAAGGGCTGGGGATTTTCTCCTGTCCAAATGGTGGACCTGGGGATGGTCCAGCAGAAGAGGGCAAGGCTGACCAGTTGGTAGGCTGGTGCTGTTGCTGGTGCTGCTGCATCCGGGCATGCTGCTGACGATTGGCAGCTATCTGTTTGAGCTGTTGGGCATGGGATACTTCCTGCCAGCTTGGCAGGGCCCGGCTTGCTCCTGAGGCTGTCTGAGGCTGAGCCTGGCTCTGAGGGACTGAAGGGATTGGGGATGAAGTGGAGAGGGCAGAGTTGGCCATGGAGAATGTGGGGCCAGTTGATGGGGGCCTCAACTGGGGAGAGCCTGCAGGGCCCTGAGTCAGGCCAGGTGAGTATTCACTTTTGATCACTATCTTCTCCATGGGCAAGGAGGGCCTGGGAGTGCTCCTCTGGCTCTGCTGACCCAAGTCAATGTTAAATGGGTCATCCTGCTTTATGGTGGCATTGATCATGTTCTCCAGCTCAAGGTCACTCATGGGAGGCACAGATATGTTGGTCAGTTCATTGAATAATTCCTGCAGCTCAGGATCCATCAGCTGCTCTCCAGGGTCATCACTGAATCTATTAGAAAAAATATTCTCCTGGGTCATTTGGCTGTCCATGTGCTTACTGCAAGATAGAGTCTCTCCTGGTTCCTTCTTTACTTCCTTTAAGCCCATGTTAAACATACTATTGCCCGGAGAATGTGTATGCGGTGGCAGAGTGTTTGTCTTTCTCAGGGGTGCTTGGCTCATAGGCAAGGTCCCTGACATAATCTGACTTTGTCCATTATTTACTTGGAGGCCACCTTGTCCTGCAGAGAGGTTCTCCCCAACACGGATTCTTTTGATATCAAGGAATGAGTTGTCAACAAAGCCATTGGGCCTCTTGCTGTTGGCAGGAGACAAATTAACTACTTGTTTTCTTTTCAAAGAACCCTGGAGCTGAAAGACAAAAGAGGAACAAAAATGAAAAATATGAGATATTAATCCAGTTATGCTTCTAATCAAATGAAATGTAATATTTAATTTTTTTCTTCCATTTACACACAGGATGCAGCAAAAAGAAAAAAAAAGAACAAATGAGGCACAGTGCGGAATATAGTGAAACACAGCAAAACAAACAGAATAAAATAAAATGTTTCTGGAGAAGCAGGTTAGAGATCACAGTGGTTCCTATGATGGGTCCACAAGTCAATGGATGAAGAATCCTTCACATACGATTAGGAGTTATACACAATACCTAAGATTAGTCACTAAAGCATTGTTGTTTTCTGGAGCAGGCCAGAATATTCCATGTGCATGTGCACACAACCTCACGCAGCTAAATACGATCGGAGTGCACACGATTTTGATCAAGATAGGAAACACTGACACATCTACAGCTGGGACAAAATTTCCAGTTTTGTTTTTCACAGATTCAACACCTTCATCACTATCCACGCAGCTAAATACGATCGGAGTGCACACGATTTTGATCAAGATAGGAAACACTGACATATCTACAGCTGGGACAAAATTTCCAGTTTTGTTTTTCACAGATTCAACACCTTCATCACTATAATCCTCTAAGTAAGTAATCAGAATTGTTCTCAGGTCCAAGGAGAACAATTGTTATTCATCTATTTTTCTTCCTATAATTTCACTGCTTTGCCTTTTGGTCTGTGTAGCAATGTTGTGTGGATGCACAGAAGCCATAAGATTATCATTTAACAAATGAGACACTCTAAGCACCAATTTTTCTGGGGATTCATGTCTTCTGTTGCCTGTCTCTAAATTCTGTAACCAAAACCAAGGTGCTGAGAGGCGGCACTTAACAGTTGTTAAGAGCTCAGGCCCTGGGAACAGACTAAGCTAAGTTCAAATTCCAATTCTGTCACTGAGTGCTATGTGAACTTGGCATCTTACTTATCTGAGCTTCAATTTTCTAACCCAGAAAATGGGGACAGTAGCACTTAACTCATAGGAAGAAATGAGATAATGTATGTAAAAGTTTAGCACAGTGTTTGCTGTAGTAACAATTCAGTAAACTATAGTTTATAGAAAAAGTTTGGTTTACTACATTTTGAAAGGGGAGCATGCTTCTAAACAGCATGTGTAAATACTTCATGAATGTTAAAATACTTCAATTACTAATTCAGTGATCAGATTATACTTTATAAACCTTAAAAATTATAGACAAGGGTTTAAGGGCCATACAGTCACCCCAGTAAATTAATAAAACACATAAACATTCATCATGGGTCCTCAGATTCTTGTTGATTTGTCTTTGAGGTGAGCGACTATATTTATCAAATTATGGCTTTTCCAGTGCTTCTGACTCACTTAAATTATTTAATGTTTGTTCAGGATGATTGTAAAACACCTGAGGCAGAAGGATACTTCCCAGATAGAAAATTCTATCACTTCTCCTTCCTTCCCTTCTCACTTACTGCCATTTCCTTACCCTCCTGAAGATCTCTGGGTAGCCTAATTAAGAAAAGGAAATTAACATAACTGAGTATATATTATATCCCAAGTTCTTGAAATATGGTTACTTTATTTCCCTTAATCGGAACAACAACCCTATTAGATAGGTCTTATTGCCCTTACTTACCTTATAGATAAGGAAAATCAGAGAAGCTAAGTAACTTGCCCAGAGTCACGTAGCTAGCTAGTAAGCAGACCTAGGCTTTAACTCCAGGTCTGTCTGGTTCTAAAGCCTGTGCCATTTCCACTCTGTAATGCTGGAATTAGCTTGTTTAGGGCTAGGGTACACCTATCTCAAAGGGGCCGGGGAGGTGAGCACGCAGACATCCTGGATCTCAGGTAAAATGACGAGGAACCAGGGAATGGCAAGGATGCAGCATAGTGCTCAATCTGAGCAATGTTTCTTGTCATCTAGCTCTCCAATCCTGTTTCAATCATCCCTTATCCGTGGCTTTTCCCACTCACAGGTGGTATAGAGTTATGAGGGGTGTGCCACATTGCCACAACAGGTTTTAACCTTTACCATTGCTGACTGGTAATCAGAGAAAGGAACCTGACCCAAGCTGAGCCAATCAGTCCCTTCCATGGGAATTCTGGACTTGCAGAAAGTGAGACCAGGCTATCTTCTGGTGTCTTTATAGTGACTTACAAAACTTGTGAGCGATTGTTCCTTTATGTCAACCAGAGCCATAAAGGAAGTAAGTCTGTAGAGAGGGAGAAGAATGAAGCAGAGAGGAAGAGACACACGTTTAGATAGCATTTGAATCCCCCTTTTGCATAAGCTAATATGAATTGGGCTTCTGTTACTTTCGACCAAGAGTTCTAACCTAGTCCTCTGAGACATCACATTCAGTGATGAGCAATTTGCAGCAAGGAGCAGGGCATACTTTTTTCTTGGGTGTGAAGCTTCTCCTCATCCCCATCTCTGCTGTTTCTGCCTGGTTCTCTGACTCCTAATCTTGTCTACTCACTAGTGTAGACAACATCATTACAGAACACAGTCAGCCATCACCACATTTGGCAGAAACTCAAAGTTGCCACTGTCTGTCCTCATGGGGTCAGGATCAGCACAGACCAGAGGGATTCAGCCATGTTGCTTCTGATTTATTTCAGCATAAGTTGCATTTTGAAGGCTCTTTTACAACTAGTAAAGAACAAACAAAGGAGTACATTCTTTTTCCAGGTTTGGGTTATGGCCTTTGATTTATTTTCCACTGCTTTGAAAAAAACCTGTTCTGCCAGATTCTCCCATTGCTCCAGCCACTCCCTGGGCAGTGCAGTGCTCAGTCTGGGAAGCAGCACTAACACTTTCTTTAGGCCACCAGGACTGTAGAGGCAGAAATAGAATCAGTGATAGCTGTAGCATTAGTGATGATAATAATAATAACAAAGTCACTCATTGAGGGCTTGTGTGCTAGGCATTGTGCTAAACTCTTTGTATGGATAATATCATCTAATCCTCACAATTCTAAGAATCTTCACAACAACTCTATGAGGTTGATACTATTTCTACCCTTCCTCCACTCCTGCCCCTGCCCTGTTTAGCAGATGAGAAAGTTCTAGCTTAGAGTCTGAGTAACTATTCCAGGTCATGCACATAGTAAGTAATGAAGCCAAAAACCAAAGCAAGCATTTCTATTGTAGGGCCTGTGCTCTGTGCAAATGGTGCCCTAGGCCCTGACACAGGCAAAGGGTGCCCAAACCCATATATTGATGAGGCCTGGGATCTAGTCCTGATTCTGCCATTAACTTGCTGTGCTACTTTAGGCAAGATATTAGGCCTGTGCTCTGTGCAAATGGTGCCCTAGGCCCTGACACAGGCAAAGGGTGCCCAAACCCATATATTGAGGAGGCCTGGGATCTAGTCCTGATTCTGCCATTAACTTGCTGTGCTACTTTAGGCAAGATATTCCACTTTTTGGGCCATAGTTTCCTCCTTTATAAATAAGATTATCTCTGAGACACTTTCCTGCCTGAATCCAGAAAATGTTGAGCACTGAGGGAGTGAGATTTGTTCCGTTGGCACCACACGTGGTGGTATAAGACCACCATGAAGCATAGCTGGAGGGATGACTTAAGATGGAGAAGAGAAGAAATGATGTGTGTTTTCATTAGGATAAAAGAGATTCCGTTAGCACTCCACTGGGCATGATACTTTTCCAAGAGAATTTTGGGGATGGGATATGTCCTGACTTCTAGAAACTTCTAATCATAGTTATATCACCAAGGCCCAATGAGTGCACACATGCAGTGGGCTCTAAGCTACTGGTATAATGAAGTCTAAATGATTCTCAAAATTCTCCTTTTGCTTTAAAGTATTTCCTTTGCTGGACTTAAATTCTTCCATCATATACATGGTTTGAATTATGGTATAAAGTCTTCTAAAGTTCTTTGTCAAAATGCAAATGCTCTAGAAGCAGTAAAGGAGGAATACCATTAGTCATTAATACCTCAGTGAGAAATAGTTTATGAAAAAATTCAATGCCAAGCTACCAGAGAAAGAATAAAGCCTGAAGGGAACAAGACTCAATCAGGGGAATGACGAAGACATGGGTTTAAATTGAGAAAGATGGGGGCAGAATTAATACGGAGCTCCACAGTGTGACCTTTTGGTTGGCTGCGGGAGAAAAGAAATGGGAGGGGTGAAGTATAAGGGCAGTGTCGTGAGGGGCCAAGGAGCCAGTAACTTCCAGAAAGCAGTTAACAACATTGAAAAGGTACAAGGAAGGATCACCGACACAAATCTCTCACCCATCAGGGCTGATTTACCCATTAGGCACTGTAGGTAGACACAGTGCCCAGGATCCACAATAGTCTTAGGGCCCACAAAAATGTATTCATTTATTTTAAGACAGAAAAAAATGATGAGCTTTTAGGTTAAAAATAGTTTTGACATATAATATTAATTAATTTATCTTTATCCCAACATAGTCATAAAATATAACTTTTAATATATTTTCTGGAAAGAAAGGGCCCTCAAAGCAAGAGTGCCTAATGCCCATGAAAGGCTCTCACCTAACACTGAGCTTATTTTAGACAGGTACTCTGCTGTGTAGAGTCTCTAACCTTCTCACAGTTCTCTGAAGCATGTGTTCTTATCCCCATCTTAAAAGTGAAGAAATTGAGGGTCCTGACATTAAGATTAAACAGTAATAATACGGAGCAGGATGCCAGCCCAGGCCTGTCTGGTTCCAAAGTCCTGATACTTTTTTTTTTTTTTTCAGTTCAAACTCATTTCCCTTTTATCAAAGTCCAAGCTACCATTACATGGTTTGGTACTCAATAAAGGAAAACTTGTTCAAATAAGGTAATATGTTCTCAACAGTATTTCCAGGTGATTTTAAAATCAAGTAGCAATAGCAATAAATCCATGGAAAGCCCATCCGTGGGGGTTTACACTTTCTCAAGGCCCAATTCCCCTGGAGTGGAGATTCCCAATTCATTTAAAGTTGGTCTGAGTTACTTATCAACCTCTA